CTAAATATTGTTGTGGAGCTTCAAACACGCTCTGTATATTTTGTGTAATTTGCAAGGTTTTTCTGTTTGGCAAATCAAGCCCATTTTGTAAAATGCAAATATGTCACAGTTTTTAAGCACGCTGTAATTAAACGGTAACAATGTGGTATTTTCCTGCACTGCATTATGTAGAACTCATTAAGGGCTTTCAAAGCTTAACAATGACGAACCACCTGGTCTTGTTACCATAGTTAAATTCATAAAACTCTTTTCTTCTTCAGTGAATCACGGTGTAATTGTATGAGAAACATCAGGTCAGAGATGTTTTATTGTACACAGATATAATTAGCTCAGCTAGCAAGCTTCTTATTTTAAGGGCAGTCATCTATCCTGATTATTAAGCTGCAAAAAAACATCTAGGCTGCTCTATATCGGGATCTTGCTGTGCTGTCGTTAATATACACATTTAAAAGGCAGACAACATTGCTCCTACTATTAAATACACAGTGGTTTCAAACTGTGCCTCTTTTATGCTGCCATTATCTGCATTTCATGCAAAGCTTCTTTGACCTCCGAGAACAAGTTTTTGATGTAGTAAGTGATTTAAGATGAATAAATCTGACTAAATCAAAGTAACCCGATGCACTGATAAACTTTTCATCTGCCGAAAACATAAAGTGAAATTTAAAAAAAANTCTCCAAGAAAAAAGGGTAAAGGAGGGAGGGGGGATTACATGATTATGAATCCCAAATATTGCTGCTCTTTAATTATTAAGTCTCATTCCTTGTGAGCTGTCCTTGGGAATTTCAAATTCTGTCCTCGTTTGATGTGCATTACCTGTTACAGTGCCAGGAAATCCTTACCCCACCAGTTTAATTCTGATTTCTGTGAGTAACAAGGTATTTGTGATCCTTGGAGTAATGAATTTCTTATACAGCTTCTAGCGAAAAAAATCTTTCATTCCTTATAATATCAGACCTGGATTTATGAGAAATAATCAGGAAAAATGCAATTAATGTGAAAAAATACAGAATGGGTGCCAGTTCAGCATTAGTAGCAATTGTGCTGGGGTCATTTGGACTATGCAAATTGACAGGGAGGACAGCCAAGCTGAACAAGGATCAAAATCTATCTACTTTAACAGGGAATTTGGATTCTGACCACTTCAGGCAATTTTTTTCAATGATTGCTTCTGATGGGGAGTTGCAGTGAAAACTGCTGACTTGGGGTGTGCACTTTCTTTAGTGGTACGATGCAGTGTGTGACAGCCACCAGCCTGAAACCAGGGGAGGGCGAGAGATGGATGTGAAGCATGGAGGTGATGGCTCACCTGTTTTGAGGTACCCGTGTGCATGTCTAGGACACCAATTTGCTTTAGAACAAAATCACACGAGGAAGCCAAAAGGTCATTGGTGATGAAAAGCTAATGAACCTCAATATTTTTTCGGATAATATTTTGCCAATGGGCAATGTCCCACAAACCGCTATGAAGGTGAATGACCTATTTAATCTGGGAGATTCTTGGCCAGGACACTGGGACAAACTCCCTTCTCTTTTTGCGTAATTTTGTGGGATCTTTAACGTCCACCTGAACAGACAGACTCGGTTTAAAGTCTCATTCAAAGGACGGCACCTACAACAGTACAATGCTTCCCCAACACAGGCATGTGAGCCTGGAACTGTTTGGGGCAATCCATTTTGGGAGTGATGGAAAGATTGGTGGATAATGGAGCTATGCTTTAATTGCTGAAATTAAATTGCTTGAATTCATTAAGGTGTCGGCTTTTCTTAGTTGGCAGCTCTCCAGTCTCTGGGTCGGAACGTTGGAGGTTGTATCAGGACTTGAGTTCTAAACTGTTAATCCAGTACAGTACTTGGGGAAAAGCCCATCAGTTGGATGTGATGTTAAATCGAGGCATTGGTATCCCATTCAACATTGGTGGTGAACATTCATGGCACGATTTGTAAAGGGAGTTTCTCCCAGTGGCAATAATTGTCCATATAAAATGGACATTCAGACTAATAGTAGTTTGGAAGAAACTGCTGTGTGAAAAATGGCTGTTTGCCAACAACATACACAGGCACTACATTTGCTTGTGAATTACGTTGAAACAACAAGTTGCATTCATATAGCCTCCTTCTCCCAGCATAGTGTCTCGAAGCACTGTACAGTGGCTGAGTTGGACACTGAAAAGGGGAGGTGACCATAGGTCCGGTCAAAGAGGTGGGTCTTCAGCTGGGATTTAAAGATAAGGCAGGAGCCAGGTGGAGGAATTGAGTCAGAAAGTTCCAGAGAGACAGTTAACGCAAGGATTATTATTAACATTAAGTAACAGATTTGAGCAAATGCAAGGCAGAAGGCAGTCCTGCGGTCTTTAAGAACTGTTTTCAGCCTTTCCACACAGTGTGTCTGCCTGATCAAGCACTCGATGCAAACTGTTACAATTACACATTTGCCACAGAGATGCTGAGGGACAAACAGCCCCTATTATTCCTGGAGGACCAACATATCTCAGGAGTGGAATTAAAATGAATCAAAACAATAATGGAGTTTTTCTTCTATTAAAAAAAGAGCAGTGTTCCACCCGCTCGCTGTTTCATCACTCATAAACATCCCACTTTCTGGGTAAAAGGTAGATCACCTGGAGTCTGGATAACTTCCAAAATATGTATACAGTAGAGCCAGACTTGACATAATAGGGTTACATTTGAAGATGTTTCTGCCAAGGTGCACACCTTTCCAACATGCCACAACAAACAGAAAACATTTTAAACACGCCAATCCGCCCTTTGATTGTGATTTGAAGCACTTTTCTCTCTCTCTCATTAAGGATCCCTTTGCACTATTTGAAAAGAGAAGGGAGTTTCTTCCGATATCCTGGCTAACAAACCCCCAGGTCAAGTTGGTCATTCAACGGGCATGGTTGTTTGTGGGACATTGCTGTGTGCAAACTGACTGCTGCATTCACCTACAAAATACGCAGTCACTCCACTTTCCAGTATAACTTTTAAATTGCTTGTATTGGATGTCCTCCTGACGCTAAATCAAAAATAAGGTTTATTATTACTAATATAAAGTTACAACTTCTCAATTTACAACAACTTGTATTTATATAGCACCTCTTACACAGGTTAGTGTCTCAGAGTGCTTAATTTAATTGAATTATTTTACAACAATAGGAATGGTTTGATATGTGCGATTTATTTTATCCGAGTCAGAATTGGAATTCTTCCAAGTAGCTTGACTGCATTTGGTGTTTTGCTACACAGACCGGAATCAATATCACATTTTTCACCAGGCAGAAACAACAGAGATTATAATTCTTAATCAGGTCCATTTCCCATCTCCAGCTGATCCCAGTTAATGGAAGGACACTTAATGGGAGAATGACTCTGCACACAATATTTTCTCAGGCACCAATTAATTCTCGCTGGAGATAAATCAGTCCTGATGGAGTTTGCTTAATGGGAACAATCTGATAAATGGGACAATTCTGGCTCTTCCTAATTAATAGAGTCCGACTGCAAATGAATGGAATTGGAGGCTTGACAGAGTCACTGTAGCGATGATGCAATTTAATGCCTCGTGTGATTGAAACACTTCTCAGAGAGAGCAGGAGTTGTGTGCGTGTGCGTGTGTGTGTGTTTAATTCCCACCCCCTCCCCGAAACAAGTTACAATAATTTTACTTCTTTTGATTCCAGCACATTCCTTGCTTTACATTCTAATACTCAAAGGTGTTGACATGTGTGGCTTTACAGTGTGTTTTTGTGGGAATGCTCCCCTTGTATTCTTTGGGAAAACATGCAATATGAAGTGTTTCAACAAGTCTTCGAATGTCCCACCTTACAGCTGTCAGAAGTATGCTGGCTGGCTTCCAAGGAACGCCCCACCATTTTTGTTTCACTCAACTTACAGCAAGTGCCATTGTCTTTCTCGCGGAGATCCATACATGTCACTTAGGGTTCATTGGCCACTGCCCATTGGAATTTTTTTTCAGACACACTGCTCCAAAGCACAAGGAAACCAACGCTGTGTTGAAATCAAAATTCCTCCCATTTCCTCCCCTGAAGGCAGTCACTTGTATTGGAATATGGATCAGTGGGCTCTGATTGGTGTCTCATCCAGATATTTTCTCTTCCTGAACCCAGTGGGAGCTGATGGCAATTGTACACCCACCCCACACTCCGCACAAACACACACTCCAGCTGAGATCAACTTAACTCAGCATAGACCGTGGATCAATCCAAACACAGTCCTGATCTACCTGACTGAATTGCACCAGCAGATATCTACCTTCACTAACTAAGCCATCAGGGGGAGCACCGCTAACTGTTTTTTAAAGTTAAATATGCTAATAATGGTTCTCAGGCTGGCTTATCACATACTGGCCATTATGACTTTGAGCTCACAGACTAGGCTGATGCTCCAATGCAGTGCGCTGTGTTTTTGGATGAGATGTTAAACCAAGGTTCCATCTGCCTGTTCCAGAATGATCCCATAACACAATTTGCAGAGAGAAGGGAATTTCTCCCGGTATCCTGGCTAGCAGTCCCCCAAATAATATTGGTAATTTGTTTCATGGCTGTTTGTGGGACATTGTTGCACACAACTAGGCTACTAAGTTCACCTAGAAAATATACATTTACTCCACTTTACAGTGTATTGTGTCAAGCACCTTCCAACGTGAAAGGTGCCATATCAAATATAAGTATTATTATTATCATTTACTATATCATTGGTCTTTTTCCCACACCTCTCTCAAATCCAATCCCCAGCGTGGGTTCAAACTCTTGTCTGTCCAGCACCTTGAGCTGTGTTCCTGACGTGAATGGAGCTATATAAATTTGTTGTTGCTGTGTATTGTGTGCAAAGATTATTATTATACACTGTAAGCTTTCCCCTCAACGGTCCAACGCATCATATCATTGCCCCAATGGTACCTGTTGTTTTACCCGTGTACCTTGTTGCCCATCATGCCTTCCGTTTGCTCTCAGAGCAAAATCAACCGCATAGAGTCTCAGTTGACATAGGACACATCCGGCTTGGTTGGTTCCACCAAAGGAATCTGCACAGAGACAACTGGTTCTTGAATATAAACATTTTAAAGTTTTTTTTAAAAAAAACAGACTGTCCCCCCTCCCGCCGTTTCAAATAAGCACCTTGCAGATGTGAAGTACAATGAGTCAATATAACAGACAAATGAGGTCTGTTATTATCGTGATGCCGTTCGAGAAACCAACAGGGGAACCATGCGATCAGATCACTGCAATGTGCTCCCGCCAGGTCATGTTACATCTTGTTTAAATTGCATCTCAAAAGTCCAATCTAAAAGAGCTCATAAACCCCTTTACACAGTCATTAAAAAAATTAATCAGCCTATTCTTCTCCACAACTTAAAATGAAGCTCCTTTAACTCTTGAAAAGGCTGGAGTGCGGTTGTATTTTTTGTATGCAACAGAAATATTATACCGTGAAATGGAAAATTTCAGCAATTGAGGAGGCAGTTTGGTCCACATTGTACGAACTCCTCTACTGGAGCTATCTACAGTGGGTAGCACTCTCGTCTTTGATTCAGAAGACTGTGGGTTCAAGCCTCATGTCACGACTTTGAAATCACTGACACTCCAATATAAGGCTGGGGAGCACTACGTTGATGTCGGTGCCTTGCAACTGACATTAAACCCACATCCCGTCTGCCTCTTCAGGTGGACGTTAAAGTTCCCAAGACTCAAGTTCCCAGGTTTCTCCCGGTGTCCTGGCGAACAATGCCGTAGATAACATTGGTTTTTCACTTCATTACTGCGCGCAAATTGTTTGCTGCGTTTGCCTACAAAAATATGCTACACAGTTACTTATGTGAAACGCTTTAAGACATTTTCCCAACATGAAAGGCGCTGTATTAAATGGAAGGGTTACTTTTATTATTATTATTATTATTATCCACTGTAATCCCACTTCCCTGCAATTTCTCCATAGAAACATCGTATTGTTCCTCTTCAAACACTTGGCCAATTCTTTTATGAACTGAGTTCCTGGGTTATTATCTCAGCCTCAATAGCTGCTTATGGCAAAGAGTTCCATGTTCTAATAAAAACAATTATAAACTCCCCTTAAAACTTCCAGTTACAATCCTGAACCACTTTGTTACTGATTCAACGATTATAATCTTTTAACATCCATCTTCTAAAGAAACATTGGGATTTTTGAAGAACTCTTTCTGTGGAAAACCGGTTTTATAATTAAACCTGAAGCGCGGAACTTTCCACTAATAATACTACTACTAATAATAATCCTTGCATTTGATATAGTGCTTTTCATGTCTTCTAGACGTCTCAAAGCGCTTCACAGAATATACTGTAAAGTGAATTTTTATTTGTGTATTTGTTGGCGAAACGCGGCAGCCAATTGCGCACAGCAGTGTCCCACAAACCGTGGTGGATTGACGTGACCAATTTACTGTTGATTTTTTTTCTTGAGGGATTATTATCAGGCGCATGGTAACGAAACTTGCCCAAGGTTTCGCCCTGCCGGGAATCGAATCCAGGTCTCTCGCTTGCGAGGCAAGTGCTCTAACCACTGAGCTACTCAACACAATCCTGCGCAACCTTCAATTTTAAGATAATAATAACAATAATAATCCTTGCATTTGATATTGCACTTTATCAGGTTGTTGAGCCATCTCAAAGCGCTTCGCAGAATATATTGTGAAGTGGATTGACTGGATATTTTGTGGTCGAAACGCGGCAGCCAATTGAGCGCATCAGTTAAGACAAAATGCTCTTACGGAAGTTAATCTTTTCTTTCTCTCCAACAGCCTCTTGTGAACCTTATATAACCAGTTCTAAAACTCCACAAATTTAACAAAAACTCCCTTTCCCAAGCCCGTTGGGTGGTGTCAACCTTGCATTGTTCAATAGTTGTTATTACACAACATGCACGCTGCCTCTTGTCATGTATTATAATACAATGCTGCTGTGGGCATGTTGAGTCCATATTGTGGTACATATCACAAAAGGTTCCTAAAATAATGATGTAAACTCAGCATAATGATTTTCCCACGGTGTGCAGTTTCATTTTCTGACATAGGCAGAAAAAATGAATAAGAATAGCCCTTTCAACAACAACAACTTGCATTTATAAAGCGCTCTTCACACGGGATAGAGTCCCGGAGCGCTTTTACGTCGGGCGAACGTCTCAAAGCGCTTCACTGTAAAGGGTAGTGACTGTGTTTTGTAGGCCAACAGGACGGTCAGTTTGTGCACAGCAACCTCCCACGAACGGCCGTCAATGAACAACCAACCTTATCTGGGGGATTATTGAGTTAGGCACAATTCATATCTAGGAGCAACGCAGCTAAATTGGAAATTCCAAATCTTTGCGTTTTCCAAACTACAAATTTGAGAAATTTCCATTTCTTTACTCCACACGCCTGTTACCCAGCAGTAAATAGGAATCTGGTTGTTAGTCAATTGGCGGATTGTTTTTCCGGGAGTAATAATCCCTTAAAAAAAATAATAATTTGGTCACTCAATCTACGACTATTTGTGGGACACTGCTGTATGTGTTTCGCCCACAAAATATACAGTCAATTCACTTCAAAGTATATTCTGTGAAGCGCTTTGAGACGTCTCGAAGACGTGGTAAGGTGCTATATCAATATTATAAATATTAATTTGCTATAATATAACGCTGATATCACTACAAACACTGTTCAGGGATGCGGCGGAAGAGACAGAGGGCTAGTTAAGGTAATAAGCAGGTAATAGGATTGCGTTTGAAGATTTGTGGTGTTTTCATGCCACCAGCCTGAGATTTGAATGTCCTGCTCCTTGATCTGTGGCAGGCGAGACTATTTAAAACCGAAGGTGTCATTAATTAGCAACAAATTGAATCTCGCAAGTTGTCCTCATTCATTCAATTAATTTCGACTGCTTTTCTGCCAGTGTTTACACGGCACCAGAAAGCGCTGATGTGAAAAGCACGGCATTTTCAATTCACGCAGAAATATATCCTTCACATTATCCGTCTCTCATTTGCCTGTTAAGCGAAAGTGCTGGCTGAATCTCAGCACGTGTTTGATCATGTCTACAGATATACTGACGGGCTCGGGACTTTTGGTGTTGAGAGCAATTTGGCTCCTATGATAGGGACCATCCATGTAGCAGGACCCAAGGTCATAAAATGCCTGAAATTGTTCCGTGACTTGAACTTGCCTGCAATTTCCAACATGCCTAGCTCAACTAATGTCAGCCTGGGAGCAGAGTATTGTGCAATGTGGAGACTGAACTCGCAAACTTCTAACTCACAGGCGAGAGGCTGACACTCCAAAATTATTACAGAGCAGAGGATTTCTACAAATAATAATCGTAATAATCCTCGGATTTGATATAGCGTCTTATCACGTCGTCGCGATGTCTCAAAGCGCTTCACAGGATATACTGTAAACTGGATTGACTGACTGTACATTTTGTGGGTGAAATGCAGCAGTAAATTCACAGCAATGCCCTACAAACAGCCATGGAGTGAGTGACCAATTTTATTTGGTGGAATTTTTTGCCGAGACACTGGGAGAAACTCCCTTCTCTTCCCGAGCAGTGTCATGAGATCCTTAACATTCACCTGAACAGGCAGACTGGACCTCTGATTAATGTCTCAATCCAAGGTCAACCCCTCCGACAATGCAATAGGCCAGTAGCTTAGACTAAGTGATTCCAAGCCCCAACATGGGGTTGGAACCCACAATCTTTTAACTCGGAGGCGCGAATGCTACCACTGCGCCAGGCTGAGGAAATCTAGACTGTGCTTCCATCTCTTGTGGGAAAATATGAAACCGATCACTAAACAGCATTTGACAAAAGGGGCTGTGGATTGCTGTTATTACTGTTTGTCAAGTCCAGAGCCCAGTAGCAGAGATAAAACCAAAAGCCAATATTACAACAATTTTTCTAAACGTCATTTACTAGGTAACTACTAATGTTGCTTTTATATTACTACATCCCGAGGCGAGGTTTTGTTTCTCTTTATCTTTACAAGAGTCGAATCATTCAAATATTTTTCATTAGCAATGCTTTCATTCATCACGTTGAAACGTCTCAAAGCGCTGCACATAAGGCTATGTAGGCTAACGCAGTAGCTTATATGTCACAAGCAGCAATGAGATGAATAAGCAATGAATCAGGGGGGATATTTATGGTGATGAGGGAGGCATGTTGTCCAGAATAACATTCAGGAGAACTCCCTTCTTTTCCTCGTGATAGCATGGTGGGAGTTTTAGTGTCTGGTAAATGCAGTACCTTTAAGAATGCACCAGTACCTCAATACAGCTTAGAGTGTGGACTGTGAGCTCAAGTCCTGAGAGAGGGGGGAGGAAGGGAGTAGGGGGCAAATGGAAGAGAAAAGAGAAGCAAAATACTGTATTAAATGTAATAAATGCGGATTTACATCTGGGGAAAAATTGACCCAATTTCTAGGAACTACAATAAGTAATGTTAAAAAAAAACTTGTGTTAGATGAAAACCTCGCATCCCCTATGATCCCTTGTCACGTGCTTGCCCCCCTCCCAACCCCCATACACACACACACGCACTAACCATCCATTCCGCCAACCTCCCCAGTCCACAACCCCATGTACGACATGTTACTCAAAGCAATCTACCGGTGCAGAATCTTCGCCAGTCATCAGTCAACATAATGTAGCCTGAACCTGCTAGGATGATAGAGCTTCAGTTAGTGAATACATCCACACTAATGCTATAAAGCAGCCAAGTGAGAACTGTCAGATGCACACCAAACACTGCACCTCTGTCATCTTGCTTTGCTTTGCTGCGAATGTGAAAGACAATTAATTTATTATCAATGCGACCTGACTTCAGTTAATGACCAGTGAATGTGCTCTTCTGACTCTGCTGCTCTAAAGTGCAAATAGGTATGAATTGTTTGGTGATTAATTCCATTCTGGCAGTGTTATTAACCTTTAGCGTATTAATATTAATCAGGATATTAAATAATAATAAGTTGCCTTTATGTAGAACCTATTGTGCAAAACAAATGTCTCGAAGCGCTTCA